CCCCCCCCCCCCCCTTCTTCCATGTTAACTTGGCACAAATTCATGTATCCAGTTGCGAACTCTCCAAGACAGACTGCGTTAGCCAAAATAGTTTCTTATTAAGTCGGCACCCTGCAGAGCTAAGGCTGTGACTTCTCGCTGCACATCTGTGGCATTCGCTCGCCTCCCTTACGCCTCTCTGTTTTGGCACTTGCAGCGAACTCCTGCCCTCGTGCGTCTCTGGCTGGATCACGGGAGGCATTATTGAGCAGATCTGTTGCCCACTCCTTAGATGTTCACAGGGTGTTGCGCCCAATATGCATGTGCTTGCTCTTCTGTGGCAGCAGGTGTTGGAGGGGAGCTGCCTGCCTACAGCCACCTTTTTAACCCAGGAATGGTCTGGACCAGGTGAGTCTTCATTCGAGCAGTGCACTGAGGGCTACTGGCCTGCAGAGCAACATGCCTTTGTGGGCCTTTACCTCTGCCCACCCATTGCAGCACCACCAGCCCGGGCTGGGAGCACTCGGAAGAGCACAGTGTGCTCTCACATCCCCAAGTGGGGCCCGAGCAGCCTTCGAGCAGAGCTGAGCATGCCCCTGCCAGCACATGCTGAGCACGGGACTGCATCTGTGTCTGGGGGCCAGGTGCGGAGCAGGTGTGTGCACCTCACTGCCGCTCTCCCGCAGGCGTGGAGATCTGGGGGGGGAGGGATAGCCCCTTTGCAGGGTTGACGAGGGACTCCTAGTCTGTGGCATCCCTGTGACTTCAGACAGTGGCCTGCATGATTCAGTTCCCTTTCTGCAAAACGGGGGTAATATCTGCACATGATGATTGCAGGCTCCAGGGACTGTCTGTCTATGGGAATTCATGCAACAGGGCAGAGACTTTGAGTTGCAATTGCAAGGTGGATCTTTTCTCCTCCTGCCAGTTCATTCGATGCATTTCTGTCCATTTGAGTGCGTGCCTTATGTGATCACTGGGGAGCAGAGTCGGTGGTCTCAAACCAGAGCTTCCTGCGCCTGAGGGCTGGAGGTGCCTGGAGTTGCTCCCTTTCAAATCATTTCACCGCGATCACAAAGCTCAAAACTTGGAAGTGAAAGGCCGAGAGGCTCGGCTTGGCCACGTGACTCCTGGAGCCAGAGCTTGAAGGAAACGCATGCATGAGAGGCTTGTGATATAGTGGGAGGAGCTGGCCATACACCAAGCCCCAAAGCCAGTCAGCAGCCTCGTGACACTTCATGTGACCCACGTGTCCTTGACTCAGACACTCGTAGGGAAGGTCTGTGCGGGAGCAGAAGACACGCTGACCATGTGGGCTTTGCCAGAAGAAGCTCTGGCTCCACAACATCTGTCCGGCACACGTGCTTTTCAGATGCTGCCTGGCTTTCAGCCGGGGGCGAGTCTCTGTGCAGGTGCAGTTGTCCTGTGCCCTCGGCTTCCTTCCTGGTTGAATTGTCAAGAGAGCAGAGACAAATCAAAAGTGCAAAGTCATGGGTGCGACTGGCTGCAGCTGCAAAACAGTCCCATTGCCCCTGTTCCAGGCACCTGCCTGTGCACACCACCTGGGCTGAAAATCACTTGTGCTGGGAAGAGCAGAGGCACCAACTTCCCCTCCAGACCAGTTCCTGTTATACATGAGAATAAAACCAGGAAGCTCGTGGGCCAGGGCAGTGACGAGCTGTTTGCTGCCTCCGAGTCGCATCTGTGCATGCTTGAACTGGAGCTGGGGCGGGGGGGTTTATGTTCCCACGAGGCTGGGATTTAAGCACATGAATCCCGCTGAATAAATTCCTTGGGCTCTTTGGGCAATCCAAGCCCTTGAGTTTTCCTTTGGAAGCAGCCAAGGTCAGCGTTTTGCTTTCTAAAGGCCTGGTTCAAACTCCTTCCCTTGGGAGAGAGCACAGCAGAAAGGTGAGCAGGTGCCTGCTTTTATTCTGAATCTGTCTACTAAGGCTACAGACGGACGTTGCATTTGTCCTGGGATAAATCACAAAAAGGTTCACAGGATAAGAAGTACTAACAGCTTATCCCAGGACACTGAGACCATGTGCCTGATCAGTTATCCTGGCATTGCATCATTGAATCAATGGCAAAAAAGCAGCAATGCATTCAGCCACTCATTAAGCCCTGATTAGGAGGGCACTGTGTGGGCACACCAGTCCTAGGACAAGCATGGGCACAGCTTGTCCAGAGAGAAATGCAAAAGTCTGTTCATAGCCTAAGA